CAATGGACTGTTACACAACATTGAGGTACCAGAGTTTACTTAACTTATCTCTTCATTTGGTTTGTTTCCAGTTTCCCAATATTTTAGTGCAGATGTAAGCATCTTTGTGCAAATAAGGGCGGTTTCTTGGTTTTTTAGGTATTCGAAGGTAGCTCTAAAAGTAAGGTTGTTAAATCAAAGGGTTATAGTTTTATGTTTCTCCGGAAAGCCTGTACCCTTCATTCACCCATGCAGTGATAATTTTCTGAGTGCGTACTGTGTACCAGGTGCTGAAGGTAAAGAGGTAATTCATCAATGGCTCCTCCCTCAGGGAACTAAATCTGGTGTGGGATGGTTGATGCAACACAGAACGAATGAGACCAAAGTGGGGGGGGGGGTTGGGCTAGAGGCAATGAGAGCATTGAGAAACATAACCCCTGGCAGTATTCCTTTTACCCCATATCACAGGGCAGGGCAGAGAGAGTGCGATGAGAGAGGGTGCTGCCCAGAGGTTGAGGCTTTGTCCCAACTTTCCCTAGGTCTGTGGCTGAGCTGCCTCCTGAATGAGGATACTTTTCCCATCTGTCCCTTTCCTGCAGCTGCCACCTAGCCTACAAGGTCTGTCCTTACTACCCAGCTATACTAGGGGGAGCCAAGCAGAGGGAGGAGGGTAGGGACACCTGAGGAAATGGCTTGTGGCTTGAGGAGTGGCATGAGTGGCAGCCTCTGCACCTGTCAGTCCTCCACATCTCCTCTTCTCCCCTTTTACATCTACAGCAACCAGGGTGACAATATAGTGCCCAATTCCCACTCATTTAGCAGATATGAAAGTGCACGAAGCACAAGTGCATAGCTCAATGTCTTTTCACAAACCAAGCACTATGCAGATGCTAGGAACACGGAAATTATTCCTATATGGTCCTCGACCCTAAGCACTCTCGTCTAGATGGACAGACAAGGAAAGAAACCGCCCAACTTAGTGATGGTGGTCTGGACAAGTGGCAATGGGCATTGAGCAGTGAGTCCCCTGGAAGTGTCTGAGCCCAGTGCTCTGCTACTGTGACTTTGGCTGTGGTGCTGTACATCTCCCAGCCAAAATTTCTCCATCTGTATAATGGAGGGATGAATTTGACACCCTCACAGGGACTTCAGACTCAGATGTTCTGTAAGCCTGCCTATTGTCAGAGAGCAAGGCTGAGCTGCTCCCTGAGAAGGCCCAACTTGGCTTTAGTCACCCCATCTCACTCATCTGCCCTCCAGCCCCATCCCACCCATTGGTGTTCCTTGGTATTCTGCTTCCTGCTTTCTTCCTCCCTTGGTCTACATGCACTCCTGTGACTTCAGTTACCATTATGTACTGATGATACCTATATCTGGATGTTCAGCCCCATCCTCTTCACTGAGTTTGTCATTCACATACCGACATACCTCACTTTATTGAGCTTCACAGATATTGTGTTTTCAACATCAAGGTAAGGCCCTCCGCCAGCAAAAAGATTACAGCTCACTGAAGGCTCAGATAATGGTTAGCATTTTTTATAAATTAAGGGATGTACACTCTTTTTAAAATACATTTTTATTGATTTTAGAGAGGAAGGGAGAGGGAAAGAGAGATAGAAACATCAATGAAGAAAGAGAATCATCAATAAGCTGCCTCCTGCACACCCCCCACTGGGAATCTAGCCTGCAACCCAATATGTGCCCTTGACTGGAATAGAACTTGGGACTCTTCAGTCCACAGGCCAACATTCTATCCACTGAGCCAAACCAGCTAGGGCTGTACATTGTTTTTTAAAGATATAATGCTATTGCATACTTTATAGACTACAATATAATGACAACATAACTTTTATATGTACTGAAACAACAACAAAAAAAATGTGGTTCACTTTTTTGCAGTGGCCTGAAACCAAATCTGCAATATCTCTGAGATATGTCTGTAATAATAATAATCAGCATTTTTCAAATTCCAGATTTGACACTGCAATCATTACTTAAATTATCTCATCTATCCAAAAACCTTGTGAAATAGGCAGTGGTACCCGATTTTACAGATGAGTGATATTGAAGCTTGCTCAAGACCTGGAGTTAAGTGACAAGAGCCAGGATATGAAAACTTGTGTCTAGCAGGATCCGGTGCCCACGGTCACCCATCACACTGTATTTCCTACAGTGCATCTAGGTATTGAAGAAATATTTCCACTGTGATATTCCACAGACACCTCAATTTCAACATGTCCAAATTTGGCCTTATCGTTTCCCTACCTTCTCTCCAACCTGCTTTTTCATTTCTTTTCCATCTCATTAAATGGCACTGTCAACATAATGAGGCCCAAACTAGAAGCCTTCCAGGCTTCCTCGATCCTTCTTCACCCTTCCTCCCAACATCCAGTCTTCTACCACTTCCTAGTGATTTTCCTCTACTTTTCTCCAGCCCCACTGCTATTATATTTGAAGGCCATCCATCCTTTTCCCTCTTTGGGTTCTTTCAGCAGTCTCCCAGCCTCTGCTCCCTCTGCTCCAGGTCACCCCCCACATACTAGTAGACCAAGGTGATCTTTTTCAAGTATATATCTGATCTCATCACTTTCCAGCTTCAAACCTTTCATTGTTTTCTATGGCTCTGCAGCAGATCTCTAAGCTGGCCACCTGTGGGCTGAAATCCATTTAAGAAGACATGTTTTGTTTGGTCCATTGAGCTTGCTTAAAACAGTTTTAATTTGTCAACATTTATTTATTTATTTATTTAAAATATTTTTATTGATTTTTACAGAGAGGAAGGGAGAGAGAGACAGAGCTAGAAACGTCGATGAGAGAGAAACATCTACCAGCTGCTTCCCCTACCAGGGATGTGCCCGCAACCAACGTACATGCCCCTGACCGGAATCGAACCTGGGACCTTTCAGTCCGCAGACCGACGCTCTACCACTGAGCCAAACCGGTTTCGGAAAATTTGCCAACATTTAGAAACCAGGAAATTCCACATGAAAGTTCATATTTCTGGCTTCTCTTGCAAAAGTGGAAAACACACACACACACACACACACACACACCCTGGCAATTTTGGGCCCGCATCTTTGCAGGGCAATGATTGGAAAGGAACTGAGTAGTGGTTGCCCTCTTTAGAAAGGGCATGGGATTTCCAGTTGGCCAGTCTCCAGCATCCCTAATGTCTCTTTGTCCCTGGCCACTCCGCTACACAGTTACCTGTCAGAGACTTGAGGTTTTTGGGCTCATGACCCTGCAGCATAGGATGGAGCCCAAAGCCCTCAGCCTGGCTCCTAAAGTTTTACGTAGTCCAGCTTGGAGCAGACCAGCTCTGCCAACCTCAAGTCTTACTTCAGCTCACTACCCCCAGCACACTCCTCTATGGTCCCAGCTCTTACCCAATGATCTCTGAATTGTGTGGCTCCCCACCCACATCTGCCTTAGTGTAGGCTGCTGCTCTGGCATACCCAGGCCCCTGCTTAAGTCCCATTTGCCCTTCAGGACTCTGTGTCCACTGAACCAAGAAGTAGTTCTTGTTTCTACACCTTTCCCCCAGAGCTAAGTTCTGTTCTTCCATAATACTATGTAGTGCAGACTTGGTCACTGTACCCATCATATTGGTTTATAATTGTTGACTGCCTTGTCTTCCTCCACTGCCAGACTGTGAGTCTGAGATTGCAGGGAGCCTTTCTTTTTTTATCTTCCTATCCCCAAAGCTTGGCACAAGGCTTAAAATATAATAGCTGCTAATAACTGATGAACGAATGGAGAATCAGTGAGAGACTTACTTGGGAAAATACTACTCCAGGATGTAATGTTGCCACCTAGTTGCTTGTGGTAGAGGATTCCAGGTTTCTTTCATTCTGGACCACTTCCTTCCAAGTCTCCATTCAGAGTGACATTCACAACATTCTATAAACCATACCCCAGCCCTGAAAGCTATGGAATATATCTAAGCCTACTGAGATGGTATTTCTTAGTGACATAGAGGGAAAAGATACCATTCTTTATATACCAGGAGATGTAGTTATCTAGCAGATGGGATATGGCACAACCATTGGCTGTGGCACATTCTTTAGTTATTTGAATAATAATGGTGTGATAATTATAGCATCTAACACATTTGTACATTTACATTGTAACAGATCTCGTTCTCATAGCTCTCAATATATTACGTCTTTTACTCCTCACAACTTTAAGAAGTAGGTAAGACTATTATTCCCGTTTTAGAGAAAAGTCAACTGAGATTTGGGGAGTTTAAGCAACTTTTTCAGAGTCACACAACCAGTAAGTGGTAAAATCCAGATTTAAAACCAAATCTGTCTGACATCAAAGTTCATATTCTCAATCACCATGCCATACCCAATAAATGACATTTCTCTTCTGAAATTATGAGGGTGTGATTAAAATAAATGTGAAAATAAAGGATACATACATGCCAATTAGTAATTAAAAAAAAAGAAAGGAAAGGAAAGGAAAGGAACATCTAAGGCATAGAGGAAAGAACCAAGGGGACACCCCCTCAGGTTAGCAGTAGCTGCATTTGCTGGGGATGTTTTTCTCCTTTTCCTCCAAATGTTTCTTCTATTAATATTTTCTAAATTTCCTTTAATAAGCTTCTATTACTTTTAAAAATTAAATGTAATGATGTCTTATTTAATTCAACATATTTAAAATATCATTTCAACATGTATTCAATATAAAAATTAAGATGTTTTACATTTTTTCATATGCAAAATCTGTGTATTTTGGACTTATAGCATATTTCAATTCTAGTCACATTTTTTTATTTTATTACTTTTACAATAAATAAAACCCCCCTCTTTGTAATGGCCCAGCATTACATGGCAGAACAGAGGTTGGGAGGGAGCTGATTAGAGTACCCAGATAGCAGGGCTGTCTCTTAGGTAGCTGTCACCAGAGTGAAAGGAGGTAATCAGGCAGCAGCTGTGGCCTCAGCACCTGCACCTGGTGGGGCAAAGGAGAAGTGGGTCACCAACCCGACTATCTTACAATCTCCCCTTTTCTTCTAGGTGCTTACACCCCAGAGCCCCTCAGCAGTTTCCGGTGGGCCCTTCTCTCAACTGGCCTCATGTTCTTTTATCACTTCAGCGTCTTACAAATCCTGGGCCTGGTAAGTTTGGTTCTGTCCCCTTCTATCCCCTCTGTTTGGATTTCTCCATAAATCTTGATAATCCTGGTTGGCGCTGGTGTATCATTTTGTTTTAAAAATATAAGATGCCAAAGGCCAAGACGTCAGATTGTTGTGTCTGGGTTGCTGATTTATGATCTATATCCTTGGCTTCTCTAAAGAGTTTTCTGAATCCTTTAGTATTGGCTGTTTCTTTCATCCATCCAGAGGCAAGGATGCCGCCTTTTCTCCTGGCCACTTGGGTTGTAAACAGTGAGCTGCAACTGGAAAGTAGTTTACTGTGGACCCATAGGGAGGCAGGACCCTTACCCTTACTCGGGACCTGGGTAGGCTTTTGAGCCTATTCCCAGACCTTGAAATATGTGGTCAGTGAAAGTGCTGTGTTGGGGGACCCCTGTGGCATTCTGGAGTATTCTAATCTGTCTGGAGTGTGCATGATAGCTAGACTCAGTAGTTGAGTTACCCAGAACCCAAGATTGCTGACTGCATGATTGTCTATTGGTGGCAAAGTGAATATAAAGAGCTCAGGGCTGGGGCTGGGGGTCAGGAGACCCAAGTTCAAGTCCTAGCTCTGCCACTGCTCTGGGTAAGTCACTTCATTCTCAAGGGCGGAGAGCTCTCCACCCCTCTGTGACATGGTACCAAACCCCAACCTCCCCAACAGATGGTGAGGACTTCTCTCTAATGTGAATGGGCTTGAAGAGCTTTGCAAGGAAGGTGCTGTGGCATCCTTGGGGCATGAGTGGCATGTCTGGTTTTGTGTGTGAGCGGCAGTAATATAGCATTTGCCTTGTGAAGCCTTCCAGGACCTGGCAGGTTTAGGGCATGTACCGATGTCACCAGTGCCTTTGTAGAAGCAGTTACCTTCTCTTCCCCACCCTGGCATATTATTCTGCTCTGGTTTACTTTGGAGTATGGTTTGCACTTCTTGCTGAAGGTGTGAATGCTTCATGTACAATAGGAATGAAGCAGTATGATCTTCACACCCTTTTTCATACTACTCTCTACTGAGTCTCCTTGATTCCAGATAAATCAGTGTCCTCATGTCACCATACTCAGTCCCACTTCCTGGCCTGGCTTAGGCCATACTTCCTCCAAGGAAGGCTTTGCTTATTCCATTTCTTGCCATGACACCCATCCATCCTTCATGAGTCCATTCAGGTGCCACTTCCTTCATAAAATCATCCCTGAAGACTTGGCCCCCATTCTGTACACTCTGTAGATCTCCTAGTGGGGAAAACCTGGTGAGCTCTATCTGGTCTGAGGTCAAATATGGTAAACTGATCACCCCAACTTGATTGGTTGCCAGTTATGTGGAGGCAGGGACCATGCCATTGACTGTACTTTTCTCCCATAACACCTCTCCAGGAACTAGGCATAGTTGATGCTTAGGAATAGCAATGGGCCCTACACTCAATCTAAAAGGCAAGATGGAGCAAAACCAAACAGCTGTCCAGTGGATGGCCTTTCCCATCACCTTCTGTGGGCTCTAGCCTTGACCCATTCCTAAAACCTAGGGAAGAAAAATCCCAATTTGAACAGGTGGGGATTTGTCAATCCCTACTTGTCTAGTCTCCCTTTAGGTAGAGATGGCTGAACTGGCAGAAGCCAGAGAAAGCCTAAGGATGGTAAACGCTCACTCTACCTCCCTTGTCCCTGCAGGTCACCGAAGTGAATTTGAACAACATGCTGTGTCCGGCCATCTCAGACCCATTCTACGGCCCCTGGTATCGCATCTGGGCCTCGGGACACCAGACTCTCATGACCATGACCCACGGGAAGCTGGTCATCCTGTTCTCATACATGGTTGGGCCCTTGTGTAAATATCTGCTGGATTTGCTCCGGCTTCCAGCCAAAAAAATAGACTGAAGGTGCTTTTTTTTCTCCCTGAGGAAACAAGTCCTGACTTGACTTGGAGAACACCCAGTTCTTAATGAAATCATGGGAGAGGGCAGTAAGATATTTGGTATATTTCCTTTTTCCTCCTCTCTGTCCCTTTCTTCCACCACTCTTCCTTCCCCAGCTTTCCTCCCAGGATGTCACCTAGAACCTGAGGTGTAGTGCTGATGGCTGGATTTGTCCTCCTCCCCTTTGCTCTTTTTCCCTGCTCCCAGTGGCCTTACATGGAGAGACAGTAGTCAGTAGCTTTCATGCTGCTTGTTGGTGCTTTAACAACAGCTGGTTGAGGATAAAGGGAACAAGAAGCAGTTTTTTTGAAATAACAATGATGAGATTGGTTGCATTTCATTTCTCCACTGCCAGGGACCTACAGATTTATGCTGGGGTCCCCTTTTGTCTCCAGCATAGCCCCACCATAGGGGACTGAGGCCTTGTTTCTATACCAGCGGCAAGCCAAGAGCCAAGGGACTTCCCAGCTCATGGCCAAAATAGAACTGGCCAGATTCTTCCCATTGATGTCCCATGACTCAAAGCAAGCAGCCAACCAGCCACATTCTCCAGGGGGCTGCCTGCAGTGGGAGGTGGAGCACTACCCAGCCCAAAGGCTTGATTCCATTGAGGAGGATATAGAGCTGTCGCAGTGGCAAATCCAAAGTGAACAAGGTTAAAATGCCCACAACTAATTCTAAGCAGGACCCTGGGTACATTCTGCCAGTGGAGCTGAGAACTGATCCATATTCCAATCAGAAATGAGCATAGAAATTAATCAACAGAAGCGGTAACGAGAAAATAGTGATTTGAATCATATGCTCCAGTTTAGTTTAATGTTGATAATAGATTCCTCTTTAATATTGAGTGCCCCTTAAATATTCTCTTTCTCTTTCTCTCTTTTTAAGGCAGCTTCAGGGAAGGATGAGCTAGTTGTTTTTTTTGTGGGATTTTTTTTTTTTTTTTTGCATGTTGCCTTTTGTTTATTTGCTTGCTCATTTGTTTTGCCGTGTTTGAGTTTGGAGAATTCTTGCATTAGGGCCTGTCTCAATAGGGGCTCTTGTCAATATATTTTGTGGTCTTACAGGATATGTCAGCATTCAGGTTTGGGGAAGATACAGATCCTGCTGGTATTGTTTCCCTAGGTCCAGATGTTGTCACTGTAGCCAGACTCAGTGCTGAATTGTTTAGCTTGGGAATCAGCACATGCTCCCCACCCCAAAGCCCATGTCTAGATTGAAAGGGAGGTATCAAGGAATTAAGTCCCCATGGGTGGAGATTCATGTATTCCAAAGGGAAGACCTTTTGTTGAAAGACTTGAGCATGGATCTCAAAAAGGGAAGGCAGTAGCTTGGCTTTTGCTGATTTCTTGTTAGCTCATACTAAGAACAGATTTGCTTCAGAACAGAAAAGAACCCTGGCTGGTGTGACTCTCTGTTGGTTGAGCTTTGTCCCATGCACCAAGAGCTCATCGGTTTGATTCCCAGTCAGGGCACTTGCCCAGTTTGCAGGCTCAATTCCCAGTAGGGGGCGTGCAGGACACAGCTGATCAATGTTTCTTTCCCACCCTTCCTTTCTCTCTAAAACAATAAATTTAAAAAACATTAAAAACAAAACAAAACAGAAAAGATGGTTCAATGACTTCCTCTGGTGAGCCTCCCCTCCCATCTCCCCCTCTAGGCAACCCATTTGCTTTGAGCCTGTTCCAATAATTCAGGTGTTACTTTATTAGATGTAGATTGAGCTTTGGTGACTCAGTGATCATGATTTTAGCAAATTGACCTACAGGAAGCAGTAGAATGAAGGAGAGTCTCTGAGTAAGGTGAGGCCCAGAGAAGCAACCATGGAACCACCCTTTTGCAGAGCCCTCCTGGCACTGAGGTGATCAATTTCCAGGGGTTGGGGAAACAGGAGGCAGAAAACTGGGTACTCTTAGTACCCATGAGCTCCTCATGACATGTATCATTCATTTTGTGCTATCTTTTCAGGCTTGGACAAGTTTTTCTTAGTGTCTTACTCTAGGGTTGCCTTTCAGAAGAGGCACCTTTTGATTGGCTTGATTTTCCTTGCCCCCGTCAAACTGCTGTGTGTAGAATGGGATGGTGAGGAAATGTGCAAGGCCTGAGTGCCTCTCAGCCTCTTCGCAAAAGGAAAAGTTGAAGGGAGTGCATGGGTGGAGCCCTTGAGGGCCTGTCCTGTCCCCTACTAGTACATGGAATCTTCGTAGGCAGATGATGTACCTCAGCTGGCCACATTGGCATAAGTGACTCTGAATGAGCTCTCTTTCTCTCTGTCTGTGTGGTATGGCACAGGTTGCCAGTCAGCCTGAGCTTTCTCTGCATTGGCATGCTTCTAAAAGCTTGCCTTTGCTCTGACTACAGCTCACTGTTTTGATCTGGCTGGCATTTTCTGCTGCTTGTAAGAAAAGAAGAGAGTGAAAGCCATGTGCCTGCTCTGGCCAGGCCAGAGACAGATACACCTGTCAGGGGAAGGAGGAAGTGAAGAGGAGATGCAAGGTTTCTAGGGGCCAAGTTGGCTCAAAAACATGTAGGTAGAAGGAACAGAGAGTGAGCCTAGTCCAGAGGTTCCACGGGGAGTCAGGAATGGTGTTTGAGATATTAAGAAGCAGTATGCATCTGAATTGGTCTGTACCTCACTCTTAAAGGTACCTGGCCAGAACCACAGCAGCCTGCCTGGAGGGTGGCGCCCTTACCAGTGGGCCCAGACTGCTTAGCTCCTCCTCAGAGCTTTCCTTTCAATGCCAAGAAGGTTCCCCAACCACCCTAGCCAAGTTTCCATTTGTCATTAGCCAGCATGTGGGAGCTCGGTGTGTGTCTGAGAGTGTTTGTAGAAGTGGACAGTTGCTTTTAAAACAGCCCTAAGAAGAGAAGTGAGTATTCCCTCAAGCCCCTGGGTAGCCTTGGCCAAGAATCTAGGCCAATAAAAAGAGTCCGGTTAGCTGCCCAATTTATGGCATCAGCTCATAATAGCAGAAATATGGACCTTCTGCTTGCGGTCTCAGTATTTGGTTTTGTACACCAAAGATGATCTGGCCCATCTTCTTCCCAGTGATGCATACCTCTGTGTGCTTGTGAGAAAAGCACAGACTCAGTCTCCCCAAGTCAATATTCTCTTTTTCCTTGAACTTCCCAGAATTCACAGAAGCTGCTTGCAGGGTGGTTGGGATACGCCTGCTGGTCGGCACACTTTACTGTCTACTACCACAAGTCTAGGTCATCTGTCTTGCCACAGCCTAAGCCAGAGCTTTGCTATTTGTGCTTATTGATAATTCAATGTTTTGGGGAGTGGGCACAGATCCTCACAAAAAACAAGTTGTCAGTAGGTTTCTTGGCACTGGTGTTGGGCCTGAGTGGTGCCCTAGAAGTAAGCTGGGTGGCTCAGTGGGTGAGCGAAGGCCCTTCCTCCCGCTCCCTTGGCCAGAATGACTTCCCTGGATTTGTAGATGTTGATCCAGATTATTCTGTCCTCGTTGGAAGACTGAAGATGAGGTATTGAAGGAGAAAAGAAGGGTAGATGAAGGGTAAGATGCAAATGCAATGCTGGTTTTGGTAAATCTGGAGCAGGCATAAGAGAGGGGATCCCACAGGCCCTCTCATGCTTCTCGTCAAGGCTCCAGCCTGAGAAGGGGCCTTCCTGCTGCATTCCCTGCCTGCCCTCTGGATGGTGGGTAGGGTCCTGACAGGCAGTGAGCCTTCCTCTTCTGTATATAGACTGAACCAGTTTGTGCTCAGGAAAACCTAGTCATTTGTTATTGATCTTATCTGTGACATTTTGTACAGTGGATTGCTACTGAGTGGCACGAAACAAAACAAAAGTCATTTTAAGCAAAGCTCTTGTTTTGGAAACTTGCTTTCTTTTGGTGTCAGTTTTGTATTATATTTTAAAGAATTCTTCATTTATATTGATTTTATTGTGGTACAGAGAATAGGATAGTCTGATCTGTAATTATTTCTGCCAGAAAATTGGCAAATGACTCTTTCCCTCTTACTGCCCCCCTTCTCCCATCCTTCCTCATTCCCAAGGGAGATTGCTATGCACCGGGCAGACCATCCCTGTCATCACTCCTTCCCCTCTAAGACTCCCTTTAGGACCAGTCTTTCTAATCCCATTAAACACAACAGGGTGAATATTTTTGCCAAGCTGGTTCTTGGGTGCTCTGTACCCCCACCAGTTTGCTCACCTCTTGGGGCATTTTATAACATGTTTTCCCTGTTTTCTATAGCCTTTTGATTGTACTGAAATGGTTTCTGAAATCACCTTTGGAAATAAATGGTCATTAATTTGTGTACTTGGCATCCTGGATTTTAGTCTTAGGTGTTTTTATTGTTGAAGACCCTTGGATGGAAAGGAACCCTCACCATGGGACTTGCTGTTACAATGTTTTCTTCATTTACTGTTATTAAAAGATTTATGAGAACCCAGGAGTCTTGGCCTTGCTTCCCAGAACCCTCTCAGAAGGCCCTCTGCTTTGAAAAGCAGACAAAAGGCTGTTAGTCACACACACCATGGAGGAGACCACCAAAGGGCAGCTAGTGCTCTCTGCACAACTTTGCCCCTGGGATCTGTGTGGCTTTGAATTCCCACGTGCTGCCTGCTCCCACCAGGGCTGCCAGGGACCCAGGGAGTCCTTTGCTCTTAGCAGAACTCGTCTGCTGGGGGCATCTGCTGGGTTCATTGCACCCATGGTGTATTGGGCCAGGTTAGATGGCTGAATTAGAGAAGGTGACTTTGAAGCCAACATGCTGAGGCTCACTCATCCCAAGTTCCCTGAGGACTGGCTCTGAGCTAGCACTCAACACAGGCCTGTGCTCAGCATAGGTCAGAACGGCCTATGGGGAGAAGTGAAAGAGATAACTCTATACTTTGGGAACAGTCATACCTGCCTGTCCAAGGCTATCCACTGATCAGTCCATGATGAGTCTGATTAGTCCAGCTTGCCTTTACATCAGACAGAGACCCTC